TGAGGGAGCTGAGTGTTTTGCGGCGACGCGAAGAGGTCTGCGGCTGGGAGGCCCCAATCCCTGAAGATCTTGCCCAATTCATCGGGGTTCAACCTCCATTCGTGAGAGGTTGCCCTGGTTCTGCTGAGTGCGTCCGCTTCGACGTTGATCTCGCCCGGGAGGTGTAAAGCTGTTATCGACACCGACCTGGCTACGCACCAGTCCCAAAGTTCCAGTGACAGCTTGAGAAGTTTTCTCGAGCCCGTTCCGCCCTGCTTGTTCACATAGAACATTGCCACCATGTTGTCCGTAAGAATCTGGACGGACTTCCCTGTGACCAGGAGGGCAAATGCTCTCAGGGCCTTGAATATTGCCAGCAGCTCCAAGTAATTTATGTGGCATTGTCTTTCTTGTGGAGACCAGAGGTCGTGAACTGAGAGGTCTCCTGTATGGCATCCCCATGCGAACATCGAGGCGTCCATCGTGATCGTGATGCCCGGGGGTTCCGGGTGGAACGAAATGCCCCTGCAGACATGCTGGCGGTTCATCCACCAGTTCAGAGAGTCCTTTACCGACTTCGGTACCAGCAGGCGCTTTGAGGCGCTGTCCCGCATGGGATTGAAACGGTCCAAGAACCATCTCTGGAGGGGACGGAAGCGGAGCCTCGCCAACGGCATCACCATCACCGTGGAGGCCATGTGCCCGAGGAGGACTTGCACTTGCTTCGCTGGGACCACTCGGGCCCGATGAACTTTGAGCGCCTCGGCTCGAAGAGCCCTGAATCTCTCTTCTGGGAGAAACACCGACTGGGAGAGAGAATCGAACATGGCGCCGATGAATTTTATGCAAGTGGTGGGCTCGAGATGAGATTTTTCCTCGTTCAGCTGGAGGCCCAGGTCTTCGAGGAGGGAAAGCGTCCTTGCCACCTGAATGCGCAGGAGGTCCGAAGAGCGTGCTGCCAACAACCAGTCGTCTAGGTAAGGGAAAATGCGGATCTTTTCCCTTCTTAGGGCTGCTGCGACCACCGACATGCATTTGGTGAAAGTTCTCGGTGCCGTTACGAGCCCGAAGGGAAGAACGTTGAAGGCATACGTCTGTCCCGCTATCCTGAAAGCCAGGAAGCGCCTGTGGTGTTTTCTGACTGAGAGATGGAAGTAAGCGTCCCGGAGATCGACGGACGCGAAGAAATCTCCGTATCTGAGGAGAGGGAATATGGACGATACCGTCACCATCCGGAATTTTTGGGGTTCGATGAAGGAGTTTAAGTCTCTGAGGTCGAGGATTGGGCGGAGGGAGCCATCCGGCTTTGGGACAGTAAAGTATCTGGAGAAGAAGGCTCGATGGTTTTGGGAGTCCGGAAGAGGGGAAATGGCCCCTTTCAGAAGCAAGGTCTCGACTTCTGTCA